TTTTCCTACAATAAATCATTCTTTAAACAACCAAAAAAAAAAATAAATTTAGCTTACCGCAAAACATTATAACGTAAACCACAACGTAGGGTCAAAGCCAATTCAAATTCTTATTATCCGCGAAAACGAAAGTCAGGTCAAAAAATACGTACACACACCAAAATCTACAAACGAAAACTGAAGCTAAGTGGAATTTCAGCCCAGTGTCTTAACTGCGCGCAAGCGTGCTTAAGAAAAATGAAACTGCAGGGTCACGGGCGACCCCATGTTGTGGTACTAGGGTTAAGAATCTATTTACAAATGTGGTTCAACCAAACAATGATAATATAAATTTGAAAGAAGGTTTAGGTTTGCCAGCTGCTAGTGTTGATTTTCTGCCAATGGCGAGTGAAAATAGTAAACAAACGAATGGGTATTGTAATGTCAATGTAGACCAACATATTGGCAATATCACCATAGAAAATTAACTACCCCTGTCACAAAAAAAAAAAGTTTGAAACCAGCCCGGAAGAATGAAAAAAACTTAAAGATAAAGAAATGAAAATATCTCATGGAGTAAAACACAAACCGTGTGAAAACGCTGATGCTTTTTGCAAAAAAGGTGTGGACAGAAAATTACTACAGAATGAAAAGAGTTTAAAAAAAAGTTTTGGGAAATGGTGTGGTCTGAATGTAGGCATTTTATTTTGACATCATGTGATAAGGTTAATGTTAAACGAAGAAGAAATAAAAACAATCAAAGAGAAAGGTGATCACTATCTATTAATACAAACTAAAAAATTACTCTGACATTACACAAGAGGTTTGTAAGTGTTTTTTCCTACATTGGGTTTTAAGAAAAATAATGACAGGTTTGTGCATTAAACAGACACACTTACTCCTAAAGGTGCTTTTACTCCACCTAGTAATAAGAGGGGAAGACAACCATAAAAAAATAAAGGACCCCATTACATAATCATTGAATACATCGAATAATTCCATCCTATAATTTTCCATTACATACAGGAGCATGCTCCAAATGTATGGTATCTTCCGGGTGATGTTATTGTAGCACTCGACAAAAATTTAACGAGTTTAAAGGGAAAGTATCATATGATTTATACAGGCGAATCGTTTTATTTATTTAGCGTATGGACTTTCACAGTACGATAAATATACAAATACAATTACAATAATATACACATATATATTATATATATCATTGAAACACTAAAAATAGTAAAAATAGAATGAATAGAATGAATGACACTAAATATTAATGTCCAATTTACATAGCCATTCAATTGCTTCTGGGGAACATTCCGCAAAGTCCTGGAGGTTTCCACGGTAGGCACGATTCAAGCAGTCTGAAACACAATGGCTTATGGTCTGTCTAGATTCTCCGCAATCGCACTGTGGACTTTCTGCACGACCCCACCTGAACAGCGAATCAGCACATTTACCATGTCCGGTACGTATACGATTAAGCCTTGCCCAAATGGACCGGGGCAGATTTGATCCGATGAAACCCTGAGTTGGGGTGGATATCTTAATATAGTCCGATTCTACTGTTGGCATCCATCTTGTTGTCCATTGCCTATGTATATCATAGGAATTACCAATTTTTCGGGCAGATCGTATTGGAGGATTTCTAGATCTCAATTGTTGGTGCTCTTTTGAGATATCTGGGATATCTTGATGTATTGGTAATTGTACGTTGGCTACAATTTTCTGGTACTCTCTCACTAATGCTGCTGTACGGCGTAGATCTGGTGGAGCGATATTGCTCAGAGTAGGCAGCCATCTCACTGGCGTTGATTTTATTGTTCCAGTGATTATTCTCATGGTTTGATTAAGTTGGACATCGATTTTGCTTGTATGTGCACTATTTAGCCATACTGGTGCACAATATTATGCCACTGAAAAAACCAAAGCTAGAGCAGAGGTCCGAAGAGTATCTGCAGAAGCACCCCAAGTTGTTCCAGCAAGTTTTGATATTAAGTTATTTCGTGTTCTTAGTTTACCGGCTGCGTTTGTAAGATGACTTTTGAAGGTGAGTGTTCTATCAAGTGTGACGCCTAGATATTTGGGGTTGTTGTTATGTTTGATAGCTGTGTCATTTAGAGTTACATTGAGAGTATCGCCTGCAAGTTGATTCGACAGATGAAAGAGACAGGTTTCAGTTTTGCTTGTGTTAGGACGTAAGCGCCAGTTCTTAAAATAGTTACTTAGTGTAGATAAGTCCTCGTTTAGAGCTCGTTCTCCTGCTTCTTTACTATTATCTTGGAAGCCAATGGCCAGGTCGTCAGCATAAGCGAATCAGCATAAGGCGAATCGTTAAGGAACAACATAAATCAATCATTCACAACTACGACACGAGGACTACGAAAAATGTGAGCAGTTTACTCTTCATGTCCAAAAAAAAAGAAAATCTTGATTTATCGTGTGATATTTGTAAACAATGAAAAGTTTTAACAACAAGGTAGTTATAGAAACAAGAAACGCATACAAAAGATTTTCTGACGAGAAAAGATCAAATAATGTAATATATTTTTTAAGTGTTGCCAAGAGTGGACATGTTCAAAAAAGTATTATTTGTAATGCGTTTGGTAGCCTATCATAAAACCTCTGCAAGAAAAGTTCACCATATTGTGGTATGAAGAAATTTTAGGCCTTAATAAAGAAGATAATGTTAGTGCGTTGTAAATGTTTTTAAAACAACACAGAGATGTTGAAAAAGTTGTTCTTTGGTTTGGAAAAACTGCTCTTCCCAAAACAAAAACTGGTGCCTTTACACATTTTTGGTGTATATAATAAACTCGGATCAGATTACAGCCAATGAAATAATTTTAAATTATTTTAAACTTGGTCATTCATTTATGAGTGCAGATACTGTTGACCATCACCAAAGGCTACAGGAATCTTATGATTATTGCTATCTGATTATTCACTATGATCTATAAGTAAGTTAGTTCTATATACAAATATTACAAGAAACTTATCTAAGGTTATATTCAGCAATATTTCTTAGGCTCTAATACACTATAGTACGACTAGCTAACGTGTACACTTTAGCCGCACTTTGCTCTGCTTTTTCACTTACACTCACTTATAGCACTAACTCAAACGGCTTCGTTCTCTTAAGTCTTCTTATCTGGTTGGCGTTGTCTAGGAGTTTAATGGCCTCGACATTCACGTGGTTGGAGAGCCTTTGTTCATGACTCTCGGCAAACTTACTTATTGTCTAGATAACCGTATCCATCTGGAGGTCTCGATGAAGATCACAGTTTCTGAAGTACCATGGAGCGTTAACGATGTTCCTTAATACTTTATTATATTATCGTTGTATATGTTGGATGTTACATTCTTTTGTACAGCCCCATAGCTGTATTCCGTATGTCCACATCGATTTAAGGACTTGCTTATACAATAACAATTTGTTATAAGTAGACAGAGTGGATTTTTTTCCCATCAACCAGTACATCTTTCTGAACTTAATTTCTAATTCATTCTTTTTTTTCTTAATATGTGCTTTCCAACGTAGCTTGGAATCTAATGTCATACCCAAATATTTTGCCGTATTTGCAGAAGGTATTTGGTTTCTATTTATACTAACTGGGATATGTCGTTCTCTTTTGTTAGTAAAATTGACATGAACAGATTTTGTTTCATTCAATTTGATACGCCATCGGCTGGTTCAGATGTTAATTTGTTCAACAAGCTCTGTATCATGGTAGCTGCATCCTCGTGGTTTTGTCTGATTGCTAGAATGCATGTGTCGTCTGCAAATGTCGCAATTGTGTTAGGTTCTAATGATGGAATATCGCTGGTATAGAGCAGGTATAGCACTAGCTAGCTACACTTCCTTGTGGAACTCCAGCTTTAACTTCTCTTAATTCTGAATATGCTTCCTCGTATTTAACTCGAAAGTATCTGTCGGATAAATATGATTCTAGTAGTTCAAAATATTGTTTTGGTAAGTAGCATCGCATTTTATGATATAATCCATCATGCCACACCTTGTCAAAAGCCTGCGCTAATCAAGGAAAATTGCGGAACAAACTTTTTCTTCTTCTAGAGCTTTTTCTACTATATCTGTTATTCTATGCACCTGATTTATCGTTGAGTGGCTTGCTCTAAACCCAAACTGATGATTAGGAATTAGATTTTTTCCTCTATAATCGGTTTTAGTCGGCTTCAAGAGTAATTTTTCGTATAATTTAGACATGACAGGGAACAGTGAAATAGGTCTATATGAAGAAGCTTCTTGTGGAGGTTTTAAATACTTTGTTGATGCATCGAAAACATCTAAATCTGGAAATGTTAATGTATAAAAAATGCAACACTTTGATTTCTACCACTGGCCCAATTTCGTGTTCCAACAAAAGCTAAAATCACTATCCCGTTTATATTTAAGTGACATACTTAATATTAAAGCTGAACGAGGCAGTTACCATTTGTTGTGCAAAACAAACTATGACATAATGAGTTCTTACAACAACTGGAGTTCTTACAAAAAAAAATCATTGAAAATACTTCAAAATGTACTTTTCTAAAGCTTTCTTTATATTTGAATCATACAAAATATTATTATACACTATAAAAACATGTCAACACTGCCAAACCAAAATATTTTTTTTCCATAGTTGACTGTTGCGGCTATATATTCAGCTTGTACTTTCGTTAAAGTTAACCATTTTATCATCAGGAATTGATTACAATAGTTACTTTATTAATCACAAGCTCAAAATAAGATAATAGCAAAGATAACAATTTTGCTTATATTTTTTTATTTTTAGTTATTTTCTTGAAATTCCATCGCAAACATTTGTTATTTTGGCACATAATACAATAATTTTCTATTTATCAAAATAAATACCTTATACCCCTTTTTATTTACTGGCACGTCAGTGATTTTCGCAACTTACATTTGGTTTAACCCATTACTTGACTAATTCACAGAACACGAATAAATAATTAAAAGAACAACAGTATAAATATTAAGAATTTTTCCCTTGTTTGTGTTAGAACATTTTATTAAGTGAAATGTTGCAGTTCGTATGCCTAGCTGTTGTTGTCGCGGCAGTCTCCGCTGCCGAGTTCGAATTCAGAAACCGTGAAGGCGGGCCAGTCTGGGTTGGAATCCAAGGAAATCCTGGCCATCCGCATCTGGAAGGTGGAGGGTTCAAGCTAGCTCAAGGGCAATCGGTAGGTATATTAATTTTCTAATTTGTTATTTTTTTTAAAGTTTGATATTATTTTTCTTTAGTTTAATTACTGTATATAGCTTAAGTACTTGGTGCTTTAAGCGTATCCATAAAATAATAATCTCTCCTATGTATGTATATAATATACGAACTTTATTTTTATTTCTAACTGATTTTAATATTTTTTGTGTGATTTCAATTTTGTTTTTGTAACATACTGTGTTGGTGTTATAGAAAAAACACTGTTTCCCAATATACCTGCTTTATATTGTTCTGAAGGTATTTTCTTGTGGCATTGTAAATTAATTACTATTTAACTGGGAATAAGCCACAATTAAAGATAAAAATTCGTTTATTGACGTTTCAATTTCCACTTCGGAAATCGTTCTCAAAATACAAACATTAAATTAAACAAATTTTGTTTTCTGTTACATAGTGAAAAATTCTTCTAATAATTTAATTTTATCTGACTTATTTATATTGACAATTCAGACATACATTATGCATTTTAAAGTAGACGACTTTAAAATGATATTGCCAATATTGTTGAGTTGCGCTCCTGGGACGACTTTACTTATAAGATAGTTCATTCGATTACATGAAATCAACTTTAACTTGAGAATATCCGTCAGAAGAAAATCATATCATGTAATTCGTCTTTAAAAAGACAAACACATGATATGATGACAGTAAAATTCTCCTGTTAGTGATTCCATACTAAATGATGAGGGAAAAACCAGGAAAAAACCTCATAATACTATCCCGACATTGTAAGTATTTGTTCGTGAATTTAGTTTACCTTCAACAAACATCAAAATTCTGATTTTATATGTTACGTTATTTAAAAAACATAAATGATGTATCCTCTATTACTGACTTACTAATACTGGTATTTTCTTATTAATAACTTCCTCTTTCAATATTGGTAACCAGATCCTACTACATTCTGCCGAGGAATTTGCGACACAATTGGCCTCGTTTAGCATAATTAGAGCCGCTTCTTTGATTTTTCTTTTTTTACCATCCGTTTCTTTTAGGACTACATTTGAATTATTCCATTGAACCCTATGTTCATTATCCCATGCGTGTTTATATTTGAGATCTATCAAATTCTCTATTTTTAATATAAGATTGATGTTCATTTATTCTAACATAAACTAAATTCACGAACAAATACTTACAATGTCGGGGTAGTATTATGAGGTTTTTTTCCTGGTTTTTCCCTCATAATTTACTATGGAATCATTAAAAGGAGAATTTTACTGTCATCATATCATGTGTTTGTCTTTTTAAAGACGAATTACAGTCTATGATTTTTTTCTGACGGATATTCTCAAGTTAAAGTTGATTTCATGTAATCGAATGAACTATCTTATAAGTAAAGTCGTCCCAGGAGCGAAACTCAACAATATTGGCAATATCATTTTAAAGTCGTCTTCTTTAAAATGTATAATGTACGTCTGGATTGTCAATATAAATGAGTCAGATAAAATTAAATTATTAGAAGAATTTTTCACTATGTAACAAAAAACAAAATTTGTTTAATTTACTGTTTGTATTTTGAGAACGATTTCCGAAGTGGAAATTGAAACGTCAATAAACGTATTTTTATCTTTAATTGTGGCTTATTCCCAGTTAAATAGTAATTAATACCTGCTTTATTTTCATAAATAAGTGTTTTTTGGTTGATTTATTGGTTCTTTTGTAAGAGTTTTTTTCGGATACCTTTTTATTCGTGCTATTTTTTAATATAAGCCACTGCTTTCTTTAATTCTATGTGATTCCCAGCTTATTGTAGTTCTTTTACTAGAAATACTGAAAATTCCACAACGGAAGTGCTAAGATTTATTGGTCTCATGAGAATCGTAAAAAATGGCAGTAATGGCGAAACGTTTGTTTATTTAACATTTTTAGAGAAGCTAAATCTATTTGCAGGAAAACAGTGAAAACTTTTGTTTTCAACACTACAGCAAAATTTATTTTAAATTAAATTTCTCAAGTAATTTATTTTTGGTATGTATTAACATTTTATAGTCTTCAACTGAATAAGTTGAGAAGGGGAACTGTTTGTATCAAGTTACTCATTCAGAATTATGTTTGTATTTTTTAAGTTGTTGATTTCCATAGATTCTAATAAAGATAGCTTAAGGCCTTTATTCTAAATGTGAAGAATTTGAAATTCGTCATTAAAGGAATGATTATGGTCTAGAAGGTGTAGTGCGTATGCAGAGTATGTTTTTCTATTATTGTAATGCCTTTTATGTTCTGCTATACGTTTGATAAAAGTTTACCAGTTTGACCGATGTAAGTTTTTGGGCAGTAGCCATATTTAAGTTTGTATACACCGCTGTGTAATTGGTTTTTCTTTTGGCTATTGTTCTTATATATATTTTTGTATTTGTTTTTGTTTGTTCTAAAAGCGAGTAATATTCCTTTTTTTTATTTGTTTGGCTATTTTTATTGATATCTTGCCTGGATATGTAAATTACAAATTTAAAATTGCATATAAAAGCTACGTGTTTCGCCTATAAAACGCATTTTGATTTTAGTCGATGGGACACTCTGATCAAAAGATATCGAATTTTTACTTTCGAGTTGATCCATTTTTTTTAAATCGATTTCTCTCCCGTAACTGACTTTTGATTTGATTTTTTGCATGTTTTTTGGGGTCACAAAATTGACATTCTCAGCAAAATTCAGCTTTTTCATATGAATTTTAAAAGTTCAGTGGCTTTTTCGTCTCTGAGACTGGAGTAATTTATGACAACTTTGTTTGTATAATGTCATGCTTAATATAAAAAAAATGGTAATTTTACAGCATGTACTACATTTCGTATACAATGACAACAAAATTCCCAAGTGGTCAGTTATTTTAATTTGTTATTCAAATATAAATTATTAATTGGTTGTTTGTATAATATTTAAAATAAAAATCAGATGATTTATTAGGTTAAAATAAACAAAGTATAGTTTACATATTAGTAATTAATAAATATGAATAATGGGGATTTTCTCTTGAAAAACCTTTGTTAAAATTTCGCGTGACAATAAAAATTATTACGTAATAACCTTGTTATTAGTTCTAGATATATATTCAGGGTTTTTTCTCCACTTTCGTTTTTTTATAATCTTGTTTTTATACAGCGTGTGCGAGAAACAATATAAGTTAAATTTTAAATAACTTAATATATAAAGTTTTTTATTCACAGCAATATACAGGGTCTTTGACATTGCAAAAATTGCTCCAAAAATATTGGTAAATAAGAATAATATAAGAGATAATAATAATGTTGATTTAGCAAGCTTACATCATAATATAGATTATAAGAAACAAAAAGCATACATAATAAATAGATAGATAAATAGATAATTTATTGGTAAGAAATAAATACAAAGTATTTTTACAAGTCAAATATAAAAAAATATGTATATCAATATAGTTAATGTACACATAAATATAAATATAAAACATAGATACAATGTTTTGTCAATATAATGTCAACTTATACTGTTGACAATTACAACAAATTAAAATTGGAAGTAAAATACTCCTTATATGTAAAAAAGGCATTCGCTATAAGGTAACTCTTAATTTTTGCCTTAAACTGGTGAAAATTAAAAACTTTTATTCTAGCTGGCACTAAGTTGTAGAATTTTATGGCTAAATACCTAGAACCATTTCTGGATCTCTCAAGTCGGCCAAATTCTGGTATAAGATTATTGTTAAATCTGGTGGGATAATTGTGAAAATCTACATGCGCATTGTATTGCCTAAGATTTTGTTTAATGTGCAGACACTGCAGAATGTATACACAAGGTAAAGTTAAAATTTTAAAAGCTCTAAAGGAGGTTCTACAATCTGAAAAAAACACACTTTCTTTGTTGTGCAAAAAACACTTTATCAATATGACAAGAGTGGCCCCAGGAGAGAATAGCATATGTCAGATGGGAATGGAAATTATTATGATAAGCTGTAAAAATAGTTTCCCTGGAAATTACTTGTACAAGGTTCCTGAAGAGGATAGATTAACTATATGTTGGTCCCAGGTTAATCCTGCATCCAAATATATCCCCAGAAACTTCGTTCCGGTTACACATTGTGGTAGAGCAACGTTTTCAACATAAGTGTTATTTCTATATATATATATATATATATATATATATATATATATATATATATATATATATATATATTTATATAACAAGCGAGTCTGTCGAAGCAATCTTCAGTTGTTAGATCTCAGGCGGTCATTGCATCTGTCTCTCCAGGATCGTCTTGGTCTACCTCGTTTTCTTCTAGCTGGCGGAGTCCATTCTTCTATTTTTTTGGCCATCTATTTTCTGGCATTCTCTGAAGGTGTCCATACCAGTTAAGTCTTTTGGCTTTGATTGTGTCTATTATGTCTAGATCGATTTCCATTTCTCTCCAAATATCTTCGTTTCTCACCCTATCAAGTCTAGTGAGCCGGCAAGATCGTCTCCAGTAGTTCATTTCCATGGTCTTAATTTTTGATTGGTTTCTTTAGTTTATTTCCCAGAGTTCGGCGCCGTACAGCCCAATACTTTTTATTATTGTTTTATAAATTCTTCTTTTATTTTCTTTTGTTAATTTTTTATTCCATAATAGTCCGTGTAGCTGTCTGGTGGCTAATTTTGCTTGGCCAATCCTGGATTGTATTTCTTCACTACTTCCGGCTTTTGATGTTATTTAAACTCCCAAGTATTTAAAATTGTCTGTTGGTTTTATAGTTCCCATTTCGATTTGTAGGCATCTTTCAATTTTTTAAGCATGTAGCCCACATCACTCTCGTCTTCAGCTAGAATGGCTTGGTCGTCAGCGAAGTGTATCATGTACAATCTATCATCTCCGATTGGGATGCCCATATTGCAGCACTTTCTTCTCCACAGTGAGAGTGCCTCATTTCGATATATTTTGAAGAGTGTAGGTGCTATGCAGCAGCCTTGCTTTAAGTCCTTACTAATAGGAATTTCTCTAGTTAA